TTTATTTATAGTTTTGAGATAATCCTCATCATGTAATAAAGAATTATTGAATTTCCAAAGTCCTCTTCCTCTCTTAAATTCATTAAATTTTATTGTAATAGTAGGTATAGAATGATCAGATCTGTAACCAGTTTCAATACTAGAGTTCTGTATATTACTTAACATATTTTCTGATACCAGAAAAAAATCTAAACGTGCCTGTTTAATAGGATTATTTCTCCTCCATGTATATCTCTTATAATCTGGATGTTGCTCTCTAAAAATATCTACTAGACTGAATTCATCTATAAGTTCAATTACTTTATCTCTAGCTTTAGGATTATTTATTTGTTTATAACTCTTATCATAATCAAGGTCAGGGTTCAGCACTAAATTAAAATCTCCACATATAATACAAAATTCATTACTATATTCATTTATCACATCTATTATTTGCTGATAAAAACTAGGTGTATCTAAGTTTGGACCATATACTGTTATTAAAGTTACTTTTTTTATCATTTATCAACATATCTAAGGCAATATAATTACCCTCTTTATCCTTTTTTTCTTTCAGAACTTTACCTTCAAAATTATTATTAATTAAAATCGCTACCCCCTAGAGTTAGATTTATAAGAACTAAAATGACAGCTATATCCCCATTCTGACCTAATAATATGTTCAATATCTACAGTAAAATGAGTGTCTTGTAAACAGTAAATATTGCCCTTCTGGCGCCTTAAGTATGAGAAAACATCTTTTCGCTTACCTTTGTCCTTCAAACCCTGACAATTTGCCGATAATATGCTAATAGATTCTATAATTAATATAATATACACTTGAAAAGTAAAGGTGAGGCCGATTTTATCATTACAGAATATTGGTAGACAACACAATATACATAGTAATTAAACTTGTTGAAATCTACGCAGGGTGAAAGCTGATATAATGGTTAAAGTGGGAAAGTTTTACTGGGCAAAAGTTTTAGTATGAACTAATTGATAAAGTCAAATTATATCGGTAATATTTTGTCTCGCAGTGACGAAGTAGCGGAAGTGAGACTAAGGCTTCAACATTAAGTTCTTGCGTTTAACTTAGTTTCACTGAAAGTATAAGTGCTAGACCAACCAAACGTAGACCATAGATACATCTTAGGTAGTACATCTCAACCCATGCATCAGCTGCTGGATGTGACCTACCTTTTATGGTCCATGGACTTTGTCAGCATCTCCATCAACATTAGTCATTAAGTTTTTGCATTTAAGTTAGTTTCTCTAATATGTACATTGATGGTCAAAGCAACGTACAGCCGAGACATATCAATCCAAATGGCTCATTCCTAAATCAGAATATGTCATTGGTTTTTTCTTTAAGTTTCATATTCATCAATCTTCTATTGTAATGAAGTTTGGTAAAAAAGATTCAAGTGGACATTAGTAAGAGGCTTCTACTAGGCCACCTATCTGGGTATCTGCGTTGAAAATTATGTTTGTCATTAAAAAAAAATTGAAATAATGTAGGTATCTCATTGGAAGTTAAAATTTTAGAAGATATTGTTATGGTAGTCGTTTTATAGCTCACCTGGTCCGAAGGACCATGGTGAGCTTATGCCATACCGCAGCGTCCGTCGTCCGTCCGTCAACTTTTCCTTTAAAACGCTACTAGTCATGAACAACTGAGCAGATTTTGACCAAATTTTGTCAGAAGCATCCTTGTGGGAAGGGGAATACATTTTGTATTGGGGCTGAGGGGCGGGGCCCAATAGGGGAGCATCCTTGGGTCAAGGGGACTCAATTTTGTATAAATGGTGGGTATGACCACCCCTAGGGGCAGAGGGATGGGGCTCTGTTTGAAGTTTGTTCTCACTCTATCTCAAGTGCTGGATGGATCTTTCTGAAATTTCATGTACTTACAGCACCTACCATGGAGTGCTATATCTTTACTTCATACCAATTATTTTAAACATATTCAGGTGAGTGATACAGGCCCTCTGGACCTCTTGTTCCTATCACAGTTAGAAGTGGGAAATAGTGAAAACCATGGCAGCTAATGATTGGGTAGGTCTATCAAGTATATTGATATAATGGTCAAGTCCAGTGTTAGGAACCAGCAGTGACTCCAGTTTTAATACAAAAACATCAGAATACCAGCATTATTAAATACCATGCTTCCTCCTAACATAATGTAACCTTTTATAGACTGAACAACAAAACTTATTTTACAAGACATACAATACATTTGAACCTCATTGTATTCATCTTCAAACTGCTATGGACAATTTACATGACAGTTTCTATAGTTACTGCCCTTTAATAAGAGGTCGAAGCCTCGCCAAGTGACATCGTTAAAAATAATAATGTCTTTGTCAAACAGTCGCTAGTAGTGTTAAATGACAGTTTTCTTATTTGTATTTTTTCATTAGTGTAAAAGCACTACCTGTTATTAATGATGTTTTATAACTTATTAAAGTTATAAATTGACAAACAAATAGTTTTTGTTTTCTGTAAAAAGAAATAGCCCTCGTCTCTTACACTTATGTTTGAGGAAATATGTTACCTTACACATTATAGATGTGATTTGTATCTCTCTCTTAATGTGTTATGTTACCTTACACATTATAGATGTGATTTGTATCTCTCTGTTAAGGTGTAATGTTACCTTACACATTATAGATGTGATTAGTATATCTCTCTTAAGGTGTTATGCTACCTAACACATTATAGATGTGATTTGTATCTCTCTCTTAATGTGTTATGTTACCTTACACATTATAGATGTGATTTGTATATTTATCTTAAGGTGTTATGTTACCTTACTCATTATAGATGTGATTTGTATCTCTCTCTTAAGGTGTTATGTTATCTTACACATTATAGATGTGATTAGTATATCTCTCTTAAGGTGTTATGCTACGTAACACATTATAGATGTGATTTGTATATCTCTCTTAAGATGTTATGTTACCTTACACATTATAGATGTGATTTGTATCTCTCTCTTAAGATGTTATGTTACCTTACACATTATAGATGGGATTTATATATCTCTCTTAAGGTGTTATGTAACCTAACACATTATAGATGTGATTTGTATATCTCTCTTCAGGTGTTATGTTACCGAACACGTTATATATGTCTCATGGGTCTGGTCTGGTCTGGTCCTATAACCATATATACATACATTTAAAATTAAACCAGATTTGTTTTTGAAGCATGCATTTTACTAGGCCCTATAGAGACCTTCAAATCAACAGTTCACGTTGTATAAAGTAAGAGCGTAGCGCCTCTTGGGCTAAGAAGCAATGCCTGAAAGGGGATATTGAGTTCAAATTTTAAGCATAACTTTTTAACCATTATTTCAACCAAATTTGCTGTGAAAGAATCATTGTAACTAGGAAATTAAATGTTACATTAAGAAAAAAAAATGGAACGATAGGTTATATGACTATCGATAGAAATAGTTGGCTATAATTGTATATAATTCCAGATGATCGATACAGGCCCTTTCAACCTTTACTAAAAAAAAAAAAAAACTGATAATAAATGATCACAAACTCAAATTTGGATATTTATAATAATACAGATTTTATTAAATAAATACGAAAATATCTATTTGATCAGACGGAGTCATAAACAAAACGATACATGCACAACAGAATTATGCTTACAATATTTGCAAATACCGTTGCATGTTGCATAGACGAGCACTCATTACTATAACAAATTCACATTGTATACACAGTACATTCAAAGGAGAATAAGACAATGCATTGGTATTATCTGTAAGTATAAATATTTTCTTGGTAAACTTGTTTAAGTGTGAAGGCTTCAAAACAAAACTGAAATATGATTATCTGGACAGATTTCATAAGGACGTCGTATCACCGATTTGGACATCAAGATGATGTGAATTGCAAAATAATTTACAAACCGACTTGTTCATAGATGATATCGAAACATTTGTTATCTTTCAAAAGCAATAGATTTTTTTTTAAGTAGTCCATTATGACGTCATTTTGTGACATCGAACAATTTAACAGGAGATAACTTTTATATTTTAATTGGTACATATCATATTACCAACAAAAAGTGCGGAAATGTTCAGATTTGAAGAGTGAAATGGACAACATCTGAATACAAGCTAGTTGTGTGATAATTATATTTACCTTTTCCTATAATATCCAGAAAAAAAAGAAGTTTAAAGTCTTAGACAAAGTGGTCTTCTTTGAAATTGTAAATAATAATAATAATTCAAGGTTCTTAAATTTGTTTTATCACAACCCTGCCTGTAGGTTGTCTCAAAGCGGTTCACTCATTATTATCCGTGGTTCTTTCTCTCAACTCCCTGGGGAGCATACAGCATGTGCTGCCATTTAGGCGCTCACAGCTAGCATTCAACAATATCCCAGCACTTTCCAACTTCGTACTCATTTACAGCTGAGTAGACTGGAACAAGCGGGATGAAATATCTTGTTCAAAGATACAACACAGTGCCATGACGGAAATTCTTTTGTAAAGAAGTACATTTTATATTTAGAGAAAAACATGTCACAATTAGACACATTTGTTTACATTTAAACATACAAAAACAAGTCATTATCAAAAATAACGAATGCAAAATTACACTCCCATGGTTTTACAGTACGATACCACTCAAACGTGGTATCTGGTACACCAATATCATTTCTGTCCAACCAATGAAATAAGTGGTTAAGATATAACTGTCATTGAGCAAACCTTTAGATTTCGTGAATAAGCATCCACGAACGCACATCAGTATTCACTTTAACAATATATTTGCAATATACGAGTTCACGGGATCGAAAACCAGCAATTTGATTTAGTAGAAGAAAAAGTGCTTCTGACTATATTGCTTTAAAGATAACTCACCATCACTCTGCCTACAACATTTACAATTGTGCAATTAGCATTATTACATTTGTATACATTGATACTCATAAAAATTCGTTAAGTATATCCTCATCTTTTCGAAATATCCTTTTCAATCAAACTATTAGAGGGAGTTGAACACCATCCAACAGATTATTATGTAAACTAGCTGCTGAAATCCTCTTGCAGAATGCCCCTTCCAAGTTTAGAAACCTTTTCTATCACCGCAGCCTGACTGCACAGTCCGATCGTCCGAAGCGAGTTAAGGAGAAAATCTACCATCGAAGACCGGACCGATTTTCCTCGCCACTCGCACAGGATCCGGAAGTTGGTATTTGTTGCCTCTCTTTCGCAAGTCTCCCAAAGCTTCTGCATCGTTTCCGTCGGTACCCCCATCTGAGTACCTAGGCGCTTGCAGTCTGTGTTGGAAATAGCACGTGCCAGACACATCAAGCTACTATGGGACAGAACATTCTTTGCGGCTGGAAACAACAACGATATTTAATTAATAACCACATATAAACAACAACGGTATTTAATTAATAACCACATATACACAACAACGATATTTGATTAATAACCACATATAAACAGCAAAGATATTTAATTAATAACCGCATATAAACAACAACGATATTTGATTAATATCCACATATAAACAACAACGATATTTAATGAATAACCACATATAAACAACAACGGTATTTAATTAATAACCACATATGACAACAAAGATATTTAATTAATAACCGCATATAAACAACAACGATATTTAATGAATAACCACATATAAACAACAACAATATTTAATTAATAACCACATATGACAACAAAGATATTTAATTAATAACCGCATATAAACAACAACGATATTTAATGAATAACCACATATAAACAACAACAATATTTAATTAATAACCACATATACACAACAACGATATTTGATTAATATCCACATATAAACAACAACGATATTTAATTAATAACCACATATAAACAGCAAAGATATTTAATTAATAACCACATATGACAACAAAGATATTTAATTAATAACCTCATATAAACAACAAAGATACTTTATTAATAACCACATATAAACAACAAAGATACTTTATTAATAACCACATATAAACAACAACGATATTTAATTAATAACCACATATAAACAACAACGATATTTAATTAATAACCACATATAAACAACAAAGATATTTAATTAATAACCACATATGACAACAAAGATATTTAATTAATAACCTCATATAAACAACAAAGATACTTTATTAATAACCACATATAAACAACAAAGATACTTTATTAATAACCACATATAAACAACAACGATATTTAATTAATAACCACATGTAAACAACAACGATATTTAATTAATAACCACATGTAAACAACAACGATATTTAATTAATAACCACATGTAAACAACAAAGATACATTATTTATAACTACATGTTAAAAACAAAAAATTCATAATTTATAAACACATGTAAACAAAAAAGATACATAATAAATAACCACATGTTAACAACAAAGATACTTAGTTAGTTTTATCATGGTAATCAGAATAGGTTTTCTTGCCTTTTAAACGACCCATGGATTTTGGAGATCGTTGCCTTGGGTTTACTCCTTCATTATTTTTTCTTTCAAAAAGCAGGTCAGGATTACTACCCATCCAATTATAACTGCTATTTTCAAAGTTCAAATTTAGACAGTTTACTAATATTAATTTAAACAAGCAGCTACCTTAAATGATAGAGTAAAACCTCAGATTATTGTCTCTCGTTTCTTTTGCAATTCAGCGTACCAACAACAAATCTTACGTTCAACTTTTCTTTTTTTTTTTTACAATTCCTTTGATCTATATCTCGATATACTGCCAAAATCTTCTATTTTATAACACGAGAAATTTACTGATGTTGATAATAAAAATGTTATGCATATGTCCTACCCATGATGCTGATATTATAAAGGGTATTTATCACATAGTGTACTGTGTTATTCAGTGAATATACCCATGTCATATTTGTTTGCGTATAAACCCATGTAATATGATCTATCAGCCTTGTGATTGGTTGTAAGTTCCAATTGTTTCAATTGTGACGTTAGGCCTAGGATAAGTACATGACGTCACAGACTTACGCACTGGAGTCAAAATGGCGGCTTTTTACATTTCAATGTTGCATGAAAATTGTCGTTTTACACGAATAATTGCCACAAATCTTGATCATGTGATAAAAAAGATCTTACACTCGTTTTCATTTCATACGAAATTCATAAAACTCATTTTTTTTAAATATTAGCTTGCCATAGGCTCGCTTAATTGAACAATTCTTAGACTTGTTTCATAAATATATCATATGCAATGGAAACTCATGCAAGATCCTATATATAGGTCATACTTATTATGTTATAACACGAGAATTTAACTGGTTTTAACTACAAAAAGTATGTTTGTCCTACCTTCTAGTTTATAACACGAGAAGTTCACTGGTTTTAACTACAAAGGGTATGTTTGTCCTACCTTCTAGTTTATAACACGAGAATTTCACTGATGTTGATAATATGTCCTACCCATTATTTTATAACATGGGGATTTTACAGATGATGACATTATAAAGGGTATGTATGTCCCACTTCCTATTTTATAACACGAGAATTTCACTGTTACTGACATTATAAAGGTTATATACCCTACCTTCTATTTTATAACACGAGAATTCAATGTTGCTCACATTATAAAGATTATATACCCTACCTTCTATTTTATAACACGATAATTCACTGTTGCCGACATTATAAAGGGTATATACCCTACCTTATATTTAATAACACGATAATTCACTGTTGCTGACATTATAAAGGGTATATACCCTACCTACTATTTTGTAACACGATAATTCACTGTTGCTGACATTATAAAGGGTATATGCCCTACCTTCTATTTTGTAACACGAGAATTCACTGTTGCTGACATTATAAAGGGTATATACCCTACCTTTTATTTTATAACACGAGAATATCACTGTTACTGACATTATAAAGGGTATATACCCTACCTTCTATTTTGTAACACGAGAATTCACTGTTGCTGACATTATAAAGGGTATATACCCTACCTTCTATTTTGTAACACGATAATTCACTGTTGCTGACATTATAAAGGGTATATGCCCTACCTTCTATTTTGTAACACGAGAATTCACTGTTGTTGACATTATAAAGGGTATGTACCCTACCTTCTATTTTGTAGCACGATAATTCACTGTTGCTGACATTATAAAGGGTATATACCCTACCTTCTATTTTGTAACAAGATAATTTCACTGTTGCTGACATTATAAAGGGTATGTACCGTACCTTCTATTTTGTAACACGATAATTCACTGTTGCTGACATAATAAAGGGTTTTCATGTCATACCTTATATTATATAACGTGAGAATTTTACTGATAACAACATTATAAAGGGTATGTATATCCTACGTTTTATTTTAAAACACGTGAGTTTCTCTGATGTTGACGTTATAAGCGATATGTATGCCCTACCTTCGTCTCTGTGTTTCAGTTGCTCCCCGGAGTTGCTCTTGTCATGGTACTTGGTCGGAGGGCGGGATGTGATCTCGTCTAGCAAAATATAATATATACTTTTTCGTGTACAGTGATTTTATTGTACATTATATAATCTGTTTTGGCTTCCTTGTGCTTCAACAACAACAAGAATATGTCACTAGATCAACGGCTCTAAATATGAAGTAAATTCATTCGCAATCTACTCTGCTCGTGTGACACTAGACTTAAAAGACACAATACACCTGATCCATTTTAAGTTATTATTTTTTTCATTTTTAAATTTCTAAGAAAAAAAGAAGCTAAGGTGAAACTGATATATTTCAACTATAAAATAAATGTGTAGATAGAATCTAAACATCAACATACAGTCCTAACGTTAGAGTTGGTTCTTTTTTATATTCGCCTTAATTGTTATCTGCTTCACAAAACTAAGTGACTGTATAGTATTACACGTTCTTAAATGGAATGCATCCCAAATGGTGCAGTGATTCTCAATGTACAAGATAACACGTCGTTAACAGTAATGAGTTTCCTATAAAAAGCTAAAAGCTGCAGATGTGTACAGACTAAAGCTGTCTTTATTCACGACTAGAATATGTGTAATTTGTCATGGCAGTTTCGAATTGCATCTGTTACTATTGCAAATTAGGAAAGTAAAATCAATTTTGCAATTGTCCAGTTAATGAACACACATCCTGGTTGAAAAATAACCTACTTAACCCTGGAAAACCCTGTCTCCAGACACATTAGTGGCATCTTAAACAAATCCTTGGTAAACGTCTGTACTATAAACATGATCTAGGTCACACGGGTTGTGCATGTATCTTCACAGGAATCAGAAGTAAAGGCCACATACTGCTAGGATATGAAACTTTGTTGAGTTATTGGTAAATTGATAGGAGAAATACTGTGAATATAGGATATATTTATATTTGTGGGGCCCAAATTTCGTTGTTGCTCGACAAAACATCATAGAGCACTGTAGAAAAAGGGATAGCAGTAGGTGTTCCAATAGTATTACTAAAAGAATCAACATCAGTACAAAGTGAGACAATAGAGTGCCCAATGTAATGTAATGGAAGCTTCAGGTCAATTTCTTCATTGTCCTTCAAGAATAAAGCAGAAACGAAACACTCGATTCTGTAGCCTTTTTATACGATCCAACGGGTTAATTATGACCTGGCGTCCCTGAACCTGTTGATACCCGACCTTTAAAGGGACATCACGTGAAAAGGCGTGTTTTTTTAATGAATGTATGTATTGTATGCACTTCCACTTATGTTACCTCGCTATCCCCATATTCATAGTCCGTTCCAAATGTCCAGTTTGACCACTTGAATTGTTCGGGAAAGCCCTGCTAAAAATAGCGCCGATAACGTCACCTGACTAGGCAGTAAACACAAGTTGTGCGAGCGATGAAACGGTTTCCAAAGGGGCCCCCAGAGAGGGGCCGTCAGGCAACTGCAACTTCTTACCGCACTATGAAACCAAGTTATATGATTTCTAAATCCGTATTCAAACTTATTGAACAGTAACTATTCATCATTAAAAGTTAATTGCACACTTGCCAATGTTCAGAATTTAAATTTATTTAGCTTTAAACATAAATGTATTGCCAATAAAATTTAACAAGGGATGGGGCACAAGTTTTTACAATTTATCACAGCCTTCTCCCGTCATACATTTACAATTAAATATCATCAATGATAATAGGCATAAACATTAAGTAGATATATTTAAATATATATTGAATTTAGTACCGGAATGTGGCCGGTACAGATGGTACGGGGCTAAACACCTTCTCTACACCAAGGGACAAAACCTTTCTGATTTTTTTTTAATATATTGCCGGGGCAGAGGAGGCCTGGTATTCATATTAGTACTAATTTAAATCTTGCATGTAAAAACAAAAATAATCGTTTAATTCAGCAATATAATTAAATCATACCATTTTATTGAACCCGGATATATTATAAATTATGTAAATCCACGGACTTAGATAACACGTATCTCGGTGACCCAGAAAATACGCCGTGGGCCATCACAACAATTATCCCTTGGAGGGCCTCATGGCAAAATCAAACTAACCAGTCACTTATCCCTTCCTCTCGCATAAACCGCTGTATAATTATAGAAACACAAAGTAAACTCTCTCCAATATATGCCATTAACATATTAAAATAAGTTCATATGTGTACAAACTCAGACAAAGATACTAGCGAGCTTAATAGTTTTAGATATTTATTCATAACATAAACAGCGCTAGCATTTCTGTCGATTCCATTACAGCTTAACCGGCTATCCGGAAGAATACATGCACCGTACTAACTGCTACGGCAGTTATTTTCTCCTTTGAATACTGCCCACCTGTAATAATGATTCCGTAACGTACTCCTTGCGCTATCTTTTGACCATTTGGCAACTTTTCGTTTCGTAGCTAACACGGTACAACACTTTTCTTTCGCTTACTTGACACGACCAGTCATTTTGTTTACAAAGAAATGGTGTGCTATGCGCATGCGCTAGTACAGGGAAATCCCCGAACAAAACGTTGGTCAGACAGGTAGAAATACCAATGATTTTCTTAGATTTAATCATTTTTATGAATCTATTTCAGCCAAATCCGATCGTTATTTACCATAAGGAGTCTCACTTAATATGTTTATGTAGTATTTGAAAAAAAGACAAAAAATAAAGTCACTTCACCGTGATGCCCCTTTAAGCAAAGTGGTAATGTATTGTGCCAAACTTAACCTGTGCAACCTTATCATACCTGTAGCAAGCTCCGTCAGGTCCCGGATGGGGACAGAAACTGTGTGACACGTTTGCCCGGATGTAGAGTCTTTGAATGTAAATACAGCATTTGGTGGTTTGTCCTGGTCTCTCTTGATCTCCAGAGGAACTTGTAAATGGTTGTCAGTGTTTTCCAGATAGGTTAGAGTATATTTATCTGTAAGTGGAGATCCAATAACTCTTATTTGCCCATCCAACTGAATGTTCAAAGTTTCATTCTGTCTGATAATGAGATCTTTTGACCTGCTTGATTTGACCTCTATGAGATTTTGCTGAGCGTGTTCTGACGTAGCTTCCGGTACTTTGACCTTTTCGATAATTTCTATCCAGAATGTTGTTAGTCCGCGTTCCCTGTCACGAAGTGTATTGTCTATGAAGGTACAGATGTTACAAAGTTTGACCTTCCCGAACATCACGAGGAATTCTTTCTTTACAGTGTCCCTCATATTCAGGAATATTTTCTTTATTCTGGCTATTGCAATGCTTCAAAAAAATCAAAGAGGATAAATAGACATGTTATCAAAATATGATCCCTGCATATCTATCTATTTTAGCGCCTTTAGCATGTTCCATGGAAAATGTCAAATTGCTCGATATGCTTGCGCTATAGAAAGAACGTTAAACACCAAATCGTTGAGTTGGTAAGTAGTAAGTTAACAGTATATTATCACAACCCTCATTAGAAAAAAACAGTACGATACTTTATATACGAAGCATTTTTATCAAAATATGGTAATATGTGAAGGAATATGTTTTGAATTCTTATTTTTTTTATAAAGACCAAGTTTGTTTTGAACACAAACAGGAATTGAAAACTTATTTTTTGCGAGCTTTCGAAAACGTTTGATTCCTTTGTCAAGCAAAGAGTGCAAATTACCGGTGTCTCGACCCTAAACCGCTTAAAACAACTCAACAAGCATCAGCCTTAGAGTCGAGACACCGGTCATTTGCACTCTTTGCTTGACAAAGGAAATATAACCGCTAATACTCAAACAGAGGCGTTATTTCTATTTATTATCCTACCGATACCCATTCAGTTAGCAATGTAACATGTGATACGTACCACCAAAGTCCTCGGGTCTGAACACTGTAGACACCACTCTCCACCTTTGTGATGTGACACTGAGATTTGTCCATCACTTGGACCTGGTCACCACGGTACCGGATGACCACTAGGTGCGTGTCCTTTCCGTCCTCGCTATCATCGCCATCGATGGTCAGTTGTACAAGGATATTTTTCTGGATGTCCACGGATGGGTCCTTTGCGGAGATCTCCACGGTATCCGAAACTGCCAGTATTCCTATTATACTGTCCGAGGATTTGTCTTTAGAGGTTGGTCTCTCGTCTGTATCGTTCTCTACACTTACAAACTATAATTTAGAAAATGTCAAACATAAGATAAATATTCAAAACAATCAAGGAAGCAATACAGCTTCGTATATTAGGAGAGACAACATCTATATTCATATATGTGTACATGTACATGTATATCGATTTTATACCCAGCATCCTGTTGTTTTTTTATACATGTCAATAGCGTAAACGATTGCAACATCATTGGCACAATGGGTGAAAGGACACCCACTGTGCTCCCATACTTTTTCTGTTGTCCTCCCTGGGCTACCCCCAACACCACATGTACATTTGTTTGATCGCTTTCACGATTTGTGGAGGTATTTCTTTAAGAGTGGGCTTAAAAAACGTATTTCTACAACATGTGCCCGACTGTATTTTATTCAAATGGAATGAAATAAGATTAAACTAAACTAAAGGGTGAACCTAAAGCCAGATTCCTATGAAAACAAATAATCCTAAACGAAGATTTATCGCGGCTATTTAGCAGACAAGGAAACAAAAGTAATGCCATGCTTGTATTGTATTGTACTTACCTTCACCAAGACCTTGGTAGGTTCCTCGACAGCACCATGCGGGAAGTTGATAAACACCTTAGGGTTTGTGGGAGACTTAAAAGTGCATCCTTCTGGGACAATTTCTTCCTCGTCGGACTGTTCCTCCATGTAAGCGTACAGCGCCTCTAACTCGTTTGTCTTAAAAGAAATTTGTACATGTTCGGGTAGGACTTCCTGCAATATAGAAAACAACGTTATAAGTACGCTACCTTTTAAACCAAATGAAACAAGAAATGCCTCTCCCCTCCTGTAATAAAGAAAACAACTTGATAAGTACGCTACCTATTAAACAAAATGTAACAAGAAATGCTACGAAATGAAATATCATCTAAAATTTATTTACATACCTAGGTCAAGCTGTAGAGAGGCATGCAGGCCTCAGAAAAGTATGAGTGCGGTTACGGGAATACACAGAAACATGATAAAATATCCGAGTAACATATTTTACCGGATTAAAAGTGTAAAAACCACGGGCTTGTAACCCGTAATATAAACTATAGAAACTTGAAAGCAAGTGTCCTTTCGTAACATATAAAGGGTCTGTATAAAATGAATAAACAAGCTTTAAACATGTCTAGCGTATTTATTGCATCACAGAAATGAAATGAAATTGCACATCCTCTTCTAAGCCTTTGTTTTCTTATTTAAAATCTGCTGAAATATATTACAAAGAACTTTACCATGTCTTCATTGATATTGCATTGCAACGTCTATCTTGTTTTGAGGCAGGTACGCCTTTCCACAGTTAGTGAAGGAGAAATTAAGCTTCGCATGACCTGAGTGGTTAAATTAGTTCAGGGTGGTCGGGTGGTGCAGCGGATAGCGCACTGACCTCTCACCAAGACGGCTTGGGTTCGATTTCCCGACCGGACGTGAAAAGGTAAGGGGTCACCTGTCCCACATTAAGATCCATTACTGACCAACCAGAGTGATTGATATAAGCTGATAGAATTTGTTTCGTAATTGTTGTAAAATAAATAAAATTTAATTTTATATAAATGAACTTCAAACAATATGTCCTTTTTCTAGCATCCGGTAGGGTCACTAAAGAGATTCATATGTTTTAGGTTTCGGTAAACTGTTTTTAGAAGCTAAGGTTTACTACTTACTGTAGCGTTATTACGTAAGTTCGTGATTTTATTTTATTTTACTACTATTACATTACTTTGGGAATGGATTTGTTAAGCTTAATATGCTAACAAGGTGTGAAAAAAATTATCATGCATTTTTAATCTGGTATGTAACAAAGTAAATTTTACGTCCATAGACCATACTCTCATTTTAAACTTACCCTATCAAAATCTTCTAATATAGACCATGATCCTCCCTGTTTCACCTTGACAATGATTCGACTTGCAGATCCCTGAGGGGGAACGGCTGTCACCTCCACCTCGACAGCTGTCGCCGTCTTTAAAATTCCATCTTTTATGACGTATATATCGGAGACTAGTCTCTGGTCCGGTGAGAGGTCAATCTCTTCCAGCCACTGGACCCTGTCCTTCATATCGCATGCTCCAAAGCGGCATTTACCGAGCGCTTTATGCACTTCCGGTCGGTAGAAGATTCGCACATTCTGGTCGGATGGGTCCTCGAGACATACCGTCACCCTGGAGATAGAAGACTAAGTAGGTTTATCTCAGTTACCTCCCCTTGATGTCACACTGTCGGTATGTTTAAACAAGGTTACTTCTATCAATATCAGATTATGGAATTTGGTTAATGTAAATGACTTATACTTATATTGATTTCTCGGAAACAACAACGGCAGCTTTGTGTTGTTCTCTGTATACATACATGTATACCATTTGCGATTGTCTCTCCTCGCGAAATAGCAAACACACATCTAGCGAAGTATTTAAATGAGTTACTGTACGTGATAGCATTAATTAAACAACCAGGCATGATGAATACACATACATTATTATTGTTTATATGGACAACCGTTTATTTCATGTTTAATTTGAATCAAAAGTGGTCATATTTTATCGAACATGCTAAATGGACATGTACAAAATCACAAAATCATACACTTTGATAAAGATATTTTTACCGGGGTTTCATATGTCAAAAAATGGTCAATTATCTTGAAAAGATTTAGCTGATCTGCACATGTTCGATACATGTTTAACTTTTCGTCCTCCTTAAAAAATTGTCAGGAAAGCTTACTTTACAAAGTATTGAATAATTAAATTTCCCAGTGAAAGATGTACATTTTATTGTTAACTCTGATTTACTGTGAATTGTGAATATATCACAGTGAAGAACGCACATATTACTGTTAATTGTCAATAAATCAAAGTGAATAATGAACAAATTACTGTGAATTGTAAATACATCACAGTGAAAGATGAATATATTACTGTGAATTGTAAATACATCACAGTGAAAGATGAATATATAACTGTGAATTGTAAATACATCACAGTGAATGACGAACATATAACTGTTAATTGTCAATACATCACAATGAATAACTAACATATGACTGTTAATTGTCAATATATCACAGTGAATGATGAACATATTACAGTGAATTGTAAATACATCACAGTGAAAGATGAATATATTACTGTTAATTGTCAATACATCACAGTGAATGACGAACATATAACTGTTAATTGTCAATACATCACAGTGAATGATGAACATATAACTGTAAATTGTCATTACATCACAGTGAATAACTAACATATGACTGTTAATTGTCAATATATCACAGTTAATGATGAACATATTACAGTGAATTGTAAATACATCACAGTGAAAGATGAATATATTACTGTGAATTGTCTATCCATCAAATTGAATTGTGAATATATTACTAGTGAATTGTGAATATATTACTGTGAATTGTCAGTACATCACAGTGAA